CTCTCTCTAAATGTCTTCCCACTTCGTCAACATCGCTTTGAATCCTCTTATACGCCAAGCTATGGTGCCTTGCGCCATCGTCGCCCATCGACCATGCTACTCCACAGTCTCTCAGCCTCACTCAGTGGTTGGCAGCACAAGACTGCAACAGTGCTTTGCATTATTCTGTGTTCAAATCCGCATGAGTCAAGACCAGGTTTGTAACTTTTGGTCAAAGACCAGGGGTCGTAACTTCTGGTCAAAGTCGCGGCCAGCACCCCCATGCGAGGCATTGACCCTTGGAAAATCAAGACTCAAGAGTCAGACCCAGCACAGGAGATGCAGGCCCAAAGTCAAAGTCAAAGTCTCCCACTTTTCCACCACAGCCATTGTCAATGATCAGATGCACATCAAAGCTTGCCTGCAGGTTTCCAGAAGATTCCAGTTCGGACACAACACATCTGGGACAGCATTGCATCTAGGCCATCCATGTCAAGAAAATTTTCGCCCTTGACATGGTCCGGTAAGAGGCTGGTCAGCGCCAGTCAACGCTATACAAAGAGGGCTAGGCCGAGGGCCAACTCGTTCTGCCTTGCTGCTGCTCGCAGCCAAGTTCCTGCACACGAGGCTGGAAAGGTGTGGAGTGGGCGCCAGATGCTGGAAGAAGGCGCCAGCCTTGTGGTAGATGGAGGAGGAGCGGCCATAGTCGCCATAGCCGCCATAGCTGTAGGTGATGAGGTTGGGCGAGGAGGAGGAGGATCCAATCTGTGAGACTGATGGGAGTTTCAAGGGGAAGCTTACCTGGAATTACCTGTTGCCAATGGGAATGAGCTGCTGACGGTCTTCTCCACGAAGCTGAGGAAGGACTGCGCCATCCTCCATAGCTCGACTTGACTGTGGAAGGAGGAGTGGAGCCCTGCTGGAATCTGCACAGTGACTCTGTCAGCGGTCGTCAGAAGGAGAGCATACGTTGATGAGGTGGCGATAGGGGAGAAGCCTGAAGATGAAGTGGGAATGGGAGAGCGACATACTTGTATTATTGATTATGAATATAACTCTTCTCTCCCTCTTCTCTGTCTCTTCTCTGTCTCTTCTCTCCCCTTTCTCTTTCTGCCTTGATCTTGCATGTCATTGATTGCCCGCTTCTTCTGAAATGTGCATTCAATCAAGATATGGAAATGCAATCATGTTTGGAGACTTCATGTTGAGCGCTGGGTTGAGATCAGTTCTGCTTCTCAACGAGATTGGGATCGTTCATTGCAGCTTCCACTGCAAGCTTAAATAGTGATTTTTGCTGAATCAGATGCAGCTTTGGTATACGGCACAACAGTTACTTTTGTACTGTGCTGCATTTGGCAATCTTAGACTTTAAATTCCGGTTGAGCACCCCTGACTGCCAGCTGCAGTCGGCCTATGACGCCTCTGCTGTTTTCACAGGGTTTCCTGCGATTGAGCTGTGACTGGAATTCACTGGCTGACGACTAACAGAAAGACAGAAAGGCAGTTCAGAATGAAGAAAGATGTTGAGCGCTGATTGGCTTCTCAACGAGACTGGGCTTATTGCAATAATTATTTGGTATCGGAGCAGTTCTTCCTACCTCGCTGCTGTACTCATGATGATGATGATGATGATGATGATGATGATGATGATGATGATGATGATGTCGTGTTAGGAGTCGATGTTCGCAGGGGTGTTGAAGGGCAGCTTGTGTTGCGTTGCTGGAGAAGAAGTGTCACGTGTCTGACGAGGACCTGGACCTCGATGCTGACGTGGCCCTGCTACAGGGATGCGCTAAAGTGATGTGCTACAATGTCGCGCTACTACAGTGATGCACTACAGTGACAGGCCATTTGCTGACATGGACAGAGATTGCTGATGTGGCATGGCGTGAGCATGCTGACATGGCAAGCAACCACCAATGATGAAGGCTGGTGTCCGTATTGTTACGGACTCCGCCAGGGCTCGATCCATGGTCTGCGGGTTGCCACGCCCCAGCTTGCTGTATTTGTTTTCTTTTTTTCGTTTTGCAATTCTTTTTGTTTTTGCTTTTCTGATTTCGGACAGTTGGCGCCATCTGCATTCTGGCGCCCGTTTTCAAATTCCTTCTTTTGGGACTTTTGGATTTCGGACGCTTGGCGCCATCCGACATTCTGGCGCAAACTCTCAGACTGTCGATTTTCAGTTCTGGCCCTGAGGCATTTTCACTTTCGCCCTCAGGATCGTACTTGAGTCCCGTACTTATGAACGGACTCAAGCCCAGTATGGGCACCAAGTTTTCAGCCTCAGTGCTTGTGTTCAGAGCGACTTTGCTTCGACATTGTGTTTGGGGATTCAAGACTGCGACTTTGCGACTTTTGCCACTTTGTGTCTGCGCCCGCCGAGTCGTGTTCGAGTCTGCATCGAGTTGAGTGCTCGTGTGTGTGTGCTGTCACTGTCGCTCTCTCTCCCAGCCTCGCTGTTCTGCCTCTGCCTTGTCACACTGGTATCAGAGCGGCGTCGATCACCCTCCCGCCCACCCTGCTCGACGCGGAGCAGACTTCAACGACGCCACGCCATCATCGTCATCATCGTCTTCGGCATCAACATTGCCACGTCATTCCCGTCGCTGCATCTCCAACATCGACATTGCCACGTCATCGTCATCGTCGTCGCTGCCAAGTCATCAATGATCCTGAATCGCTGATCCTAAATCGCCGACGACACGGTGCAGATACGTTATTATTATTTATTTTTTTCCCTTCTTTCTCCTTTTCTCTTTTCTTTCTTCTCTCTTCTTTTTCGTCGTTTCTTCATTCGTTTCTCCATCGTCGATCTCATCGTCTCCCCCCCCGTCGTTCTTTGAAATCGAAATCAATTCGATTTCAATTCCGAAATAGAATCGATTTCGATTCGCAACGGAAATCAATTCAATTTCGATTCCGAAATCGAAATCGAATCGGTTTCGATTCGATTCCTTCCGACCCCTCCCCCCCCCCGCATTCTCTTTATCATCATCATCATCCTCGATCTTCATCCTCCTCATC